TTGAACGGAGCAAAGCCCTCTTTGAGCACAAAGTGTACCATGGTTCTTGGAGTGTGTGTGTGTGTGTGTGTGTATGTGTGTGCACTTGCATATGTGTGGATATGTGTACACTCAGATTTTGAAACTTCCTCTTGGGCAGTCCCTTCTCTCATCCTCACTGCCTTCTGGTTAGTGCTTTGTGTGAAAGTAATGCTGACTGTCTGGATGTTGGCACTATCTAAAAGACAGGCAGTGGTGGACAGGAGAGTGCTCTGGGGAAAGCTGCTAGGCTGCTTCCTGCTTGCAGCTAGGGGTGAGAGTGTAAGTTGGGGGTAGGGAGGCTTGGATATAGGTGCTGTCTTGATGAAATTTGGGAAATTCACTGGGTAAGAAAGGGCTGACCTGAGTAGTTGGGGATGGTTCCAGTGCCTAAGACTCCCTTTGTCCCATAGAGCAGCGCTTGAGGAAATCTCACTGTCTTAAAACTGGGGCCAGAGACTTCCAGGATTAAACAAACAAACAAAACGACTTCCCAGTAATGAATCAGTGGGCAAAGGGTATAGTTGCTCTTTGGTTGGAGAGGTTCCAGGTTTCATTTCTAGGCAGAGCTTGGGGGATTACTGATTTCAGATCAACTGCCTGCTGTGGTGGAAATGTAGAGGATGGAGTGGGTATTGGACATCAGTGTTCTAGAAGTTTCCCAACTGATTCAAATGTGCAGCCAGGCTCCAGGGCCACTAGGTTAACTGACCTTGCCTTCCAGCCCTGGGAGAGGTGCTTTATATTTGTTTTCTCAGTTAAGCCTCCCCATAAGCCTTTGAGGTAGGTGTCATTCTACCCTTTTACAGATGATGCAATAACAGCAAGATGTGGATGGCAGAGCTGGGCCTAAACCCAGGTAGCCCTGACTCCAGAGCCCTCTCGAGCCCTCCATGTTCTGCTGTTCTCTGAACTGGCAACTCCAAAGGAGGCTCCGAGGTATGCCCTGGAAGGAGGCAATCTGGTGCTTTGTTTAGCATGCTGCTTTGGAGCCAGACTGCCTGGGTATGAAGCCTAGACCCACCACTCTGGGCAAATCACTGAACTTCTTGGGATCACAGTTTCCCTATATGTGATTCAATCAATTCAATAAATTTTATGTCATAGGTATGTTATACCTTATTATATATTACTATTATTATTATTGTTATAAATAATCATTATTGTCAGAAAAGCCACGACGTAGTTTTCTGTTTTTCTACGCAAAAATACCTCATTACTTTTCTGACAACCCAACATTATATATAGCTTCTCTCATAAGGTTGTGAGGAAGATTAAATGAGTTAACAGCTGCAAAACCCTGGGAACACATAAATGCTATGTAAATATTTGTCATTATCACCATCATTATTCCTAACTCAACTATGATTCTACCACACAAATTCTTCTCAGATTTTATGGATGACAGTGCCTAAGGAAAATAATACCAAAACCTTTTGCTTATACTCTTCAAATTTGAAAATTGATGAGTTCACTTATCAATTTTCAGCTTACTATTTATTTTAGTAAAAAAGACTGCAGGTGATCTTTGTATGTATTTGGGACTGCATTACTGAGAACTCATGCCTGGGAAAGAGACCAGTCCCTTCTCAGATCAGTTTGGGGCTGAGACAGGGTAGGGTAACAGGAGAGTAATTGCTTTTTCTGTTCTCTAGGCTAGTGCAATCCTGGGTGTGTTGCTTATGATAACAGTTGACCCCTGCCCTCCTGATTCCAAAATGTTTGCTGCACTGTGACAGCCAACCCTGCTGGCCAGCTTTTGTTTGGTGAGGCCAGGCTGGGCCAGGTGGCGTTTGCTTGGGGAAAGGAACTTCTGGATTAGGCCAGGCTGAATTGCTAAATGAGAGGGCCCCTGAAGTTCAGCAAAGGTTGTATAGACAGTCAAATATCCCCTTATTTGTTTGACATACTAAGCACTCCCATGTGTCTGCAAGCTGGAGGCCCATGGGCAGGCAGACAGCAGACCATCCCTGCTCCAGTGATTGAAATGGATGTGCGTTTCCCATGATCAAAGGCACTGCAATAACTTCACAAAATGAGGCTGCCTCTTTGAGTGTGCTTCAATCACATTGACAGGCTGCCAAAATGCTGTGAGACAAACACTCTTCTCCTTCTTCCAACCTCTTTTTGGAGGCCTTGTTTTCTTCAAGACCAAAACCCAGAGACAAGCTACATGATTCTAATATATTTTTTTAGAATATTGATATGCATGCAGTCTGGTGTTAATAAGATATTTGAGCCCAGTGAGTTATCATCCAGTAATACTTTCTTAAAGTCTAGGAAGAGAGTGATGGGACTCTACAGGGATAGCGTTTTGTCTGGCATAGGATGCAGCTTGAGACCACATGACTGAGTTGGCTTTAATGGGCTTCATATGGGACTCAATAGCCTTTGTTTTCTTTGTTTTTTTTTTTTTCCTTTGTCCTCTTTTCTTCCTACCCCACCCAAACTCACACAGAAGAGTGGCTCATCTTTTATGACAGTGACACTAAAGCTGCACATTGCATCATGTTAGATTTTTAAAAGTCTTGATACCTAGACCACATTGCAGACCGTTAAGTCAATAGGACCTAGACAGTATAGGTTTTAGAGCTTCCCATGTGATGGCAGTGTTTGGTCAAAGTTGAGAACCACTGTTGCAAGGGCTTCATCATCACTCTTGTTTCTTGACTACATCATTGGAATGTGGAGCCAAGGCTCTGTGGCAGCCTGCCGAGTAAGGTCAGGAGTTGTGGGCTTCATCCTCTGCTGTGGTCTTACCTGTTTTCTCTTCCAAGTATCAGGAACATAATTCCTGACATCTGTTTTACCAGATCCTCTGCCAAGTAGTCCAGTGCCCGAGCTGATTAACTGAAACATCAACCACAGTGAAGAGGTGTTCATGGCCACCATCAGGAAATCTTGGCTGGAGCATGCCAAGCATGTGCGTACCTCAGTGATAACGATGGTGACTCTTAACTGAGTGCCACAAGGTGCTAGGCACTGAATTTTAACTCTTAATAGTCTCCGCTACAACCTTTGAGGTAGTGAATACACTTACTTACAAAAGAAAACTGTGTTTCCAATAGCTACTCACTAAACTAGAAAAGACTTGTGCTTAAGTCTGCCTGATTCTGAAGCCTGTGCTCTTAACTTTTGTATGTTACAAAACAGCCTCAATGCACATGCATTTCATTTTCATCACCATTGTCATTCCCAAAGTTCTCTCTCTGATGCTATTGGCCAATCAATCAAGCACATTTTAAAAAAGACAACCCTCTGATTAAGGAAATTTTAAAAAGTACACAAAAGTAGAAGTAATAGTATAATGAACTCCATGTAACCATTACCCCGCTTCAACAAT